CTAAATTCTGCACAGAAATCTGCTGCCTGGATTCTTAATTACTTTTTCACCTCGCCAGTTACTTTTGAACTTAGCAGATCAAAGGGCTCAAGAGCGTGTTTCGATGCTGCGTCAGTGAGGTGACATCACAGCAGCACATGATGAGCGGAGCACGTCAGGAACGATTAAAAGACAGATTACCAGAGGATATAAACACATGTCCTCCCACACACACACACACACACACACACACACACACACACACACACACACACACACACACACACACACACACACACACACACACACACACACACACACACACACACACACACACACACACACACACACACACACATACAAAGCTTTATTTATAAAGCGCCTTCCGCAACCCTGTCAGGAAGCCCAGGGCGCTGAACATGGTACAGTAGAAGTATAAAGAATAAATAAAAAATAAAAGCAATTCAGAAATAAAAGCAATTCAAATTACAAAATACAAATTACAAAAAAAGGTGAAACATTCTAGTACAGGACAGATGGGTATGAAAACTGAAAGAAATTCAACGTAAAAGAGGGCCGAATCAAACATGTTCAGGAAACGCCAAGCGGAGAAGGTGTGTTTTTAGGAGAATCTTAAAGGCTGGCAGAGATGGGGACAGCCTAACTGAGGGTGGCAACTGGTTCCAGAGAGACGGTGCTAGGACTGAGAAAGCCCGGTCCCCACGAGTACGACACCTAGAACGAGGGACAGCGAGCAGGCCTTGTTCAGAGGAGCGCAGAGCGCGTGATGGGGAATGTTTGTTCAGGAGTGTGGCTAGATAGGGGGGAGCACCACCCTGGAAGAAATTGTAAACAAAGACAAGGATTTTGAATTGTGCACAATAGCAAACCGGAAGCCAGTGCAGGGAGGTCGAAACTGGACTGATTTGGTCCCGTTTCCTGGTCCCAGTCAGGAACCTTGCTGCGCTGTTCTGCACAACCTGTAGGCGACGCAATCAGTGCGTTTACATGCAGCCAGTAACCCTTTTAAAACCCGAATATTCGCAATAACCCGGTTCCGCACGGCTATGTAAACACCGCCAAAAACCCGGCTATGCTCATAACCGGGTTTTTAAAAACCCGGTTACTACACCTGGGGTAACCCTTTTCTAACCCGAATGTTTGGTCGTGTAAACGCATATCGGGATATCCCCATCAAAGCGTGTGTTCTGCGCATGCTCTGTTCGCAAGGAATCTTGGTCTTTTGAGTAGCGAGACGTCTTGTATGCGCCAGAACACCGGAAGTAAACAAGTTGGGAGCAAAATGGCAAGTCGCGGAGCAGCACCACACTTTTGGAGTGACGAGGAAACTAAAGCGCAAACAAACGCAGTCGCTATCTCTTCCGAACTGGGAAACATGTTGTTGTTTTCACGGATACCGGAACAAGAAGAACCGGAAATGATGCATATTGCGTCTGGACGTAGTCCATACGTCGTGACGCTACCCCAACATCTGCATTTAAATTGGGTTATGCAAGTTAGGGGTAACTCTTTCTATTTATGCTTGTAAACGGGTTACTCTGATCAACTCAGAAACCCGAATACCGACCTTAACACGATCATAACCCGGACATTGGCTGCATGTAAACGTAGTCAGTGATGACACAACCCTGAATAAAGAGAGTTGCAGTAATCAAGCCTAGAAATAACAAAGGCATGCAGTACCCGCTCCAGGTGGGCTCTCGAAAGCATAGGCTTGATATTTGCAAGGCGTTTCAGGTGAAAGAAACTGGACCGGATCACTGAGTTGATGTGAGCCTCAAATTTAAGTCCAGCATCAATTTTCACTCCCAAACTGGTAACAACTGGTTTTGAGTAGGGAGAAAGAGGGCCAAGATCAACATAACGACCCACATTCCTGCTGTTGTGGTGAAAAACAATGAGCTCTGTCTTTCCCTCATTCAGATGTAGATAGTTGGCTATTAGCCAAGACTTTATCTCATTAATACAGGACACAAAGGACTGGATAGAGTGACCTTTCTCCTGACACAACGGAGAGTAAATCTGGCAATCGTCAGCATAGAGATGGAATGATAGGCCATGTTTACGAAAGACTGACCCCAGAGGTAGCAGATAAATGGCAAACAAAAGAGGACCAAGGATCGATCCCTGCAGTAACCCCCAGCGGAGCCCCTCCCAAGAAGAAAAAACATCACCCAGTTTAACGCAGAATGTCCTGTTGTGGAGATATGATCTAAACCAATCCAGAGCAGACCCTTTGATCCCAACCCATCGTTCCAAGCGATCGAGTAGAATCGCGTGGTTGACTGTGTCAAAGGCTGCCGTCAGATCTAACAACAGAAGCACCACAGATGTACCCTGATCTAGTGATAGATAGATGTCATTTAGGACCCTCAGTAGAGCAGACTCTGTGCTATGGCCAGACCTGAACCCTGATTGGAAAAACTCAAACAGATCAGAGTCGGCTAAATGTGAGACCAGCTGCTGATAAACGACCTTCTCAAGCAGTTTCAATGTAAAAGGCAGGGTAGAGATAGGCCTGTAATTTGTGATCACAGTGACATCAGCACCAGGTTTCTTCAGGGTCGGCCGAATAATTGCTGCTTTCAAAGCAGCTGGGACACCTGTGCTGAGGCTCCCATTGATAATCTGACCAAGTGATGGGCCAAGACACGGAAAGGCAGCCTTCCAGAGGCGAGGCGGCAGAACGTCAAGTGGAGAGCCAGATGGCTTCTGCCTCGCAACAAGCTCACTCAGCTCAGAGTATGAAACAGTATTGAGGGAGCTCAGGGTGGGTGGTGATGGAGGAACTGGAACAGGGTCAACAGAGTTACCAGAAATAGCTGCTGTAATGCCTGATACTTTATCTACAAAGAATTTGTGAAAAGCTTCAGAGTTTCCCGCAGCTGTAGGAGACATGGAGCTAGGCTCCTGTCCTGATACACCAGAACTGAGTTTAGCGTTTTGAAGAGAATCTTAGGATTCTTGGAGTTAGTTTCAATGATGTCTGCAAAATAGGCCATTCTGGCGGCCCTCACTGCATCCTGATAAGCAACCAGAGATGCTCTGAACAACTCACGCGAGACCTGTAGGCCATCCTTTTTCCACTTTCTCTCAGAGGCTCTACACGCCCGCCTACAAGCCCGCATGACATCAGAGAGCCAAGGCTCCCTCCTAGGCCAAGACTTGCAAAGGTTGAGAGGGGCAACCACGTCCAGGACCTGATTACAAAGTAAATCAAAGTGTTGTGAATAGTGTTCAGTGTTAGATGGATCAGGGTTAAAGGTCTCTAACCTTACAGACATACAGTCCACAAACTTTGAAATAGTTTCTGCATCCAGGGCTCTGAACCTAATAGCTGGAGCTTCACACACAGGGACAGGACATAGCAACGTAACATCACAGAGTATTGGAGAGTGGTCAGAGAACACAGGAGGCAAAGTCACAAGGTTCATGACAGGGAGACCAAAAGAGAGAACCGGGTGTGACCCCTGGCATGAGTTGGGGATGATACCCATTGAGTTAGATTGAATGAATCTAGCAAATTAAAAAAACCTTTAGCAAGCACATTGTCCGGACAGCAGATATGGATGTTAAAATCACCAAAAAATAGGATATAGTCATATTTTAGGATGCAGTCTGCCACAAGATCACAGAAATCATTAAGGAAGTTAGAGTCAGTCTTTGCAGGCTGATAAATCAGCACAACGAGCAGACAGGGGGAGATGCACAGTTCAAATAAGCATAGTTCAAAGGAAGAAAATGACATGGTGGGTGTAAGCTGTTTACAAGGAAAGCTGGATTTAAAAGCAACAACCAGCCCTCCACCTCTGCCCCGTGACCTGGGAATATTAAAACAGGAGCAGCCAGATGGTACCAGCTCCAGTAGGGCGCTTGAGTCACCAAACGGGATCCAGGACTCACAGATGCAGAGAAAACCCAAGTCATGCTGAATAAAAAAGTCACGAAGAATAAGTTTTGTTCAGCACAGACCTGGCATTGACTAGACCAAACCGGGTCTGCGGCGGGGCTGCTGCACCGAGATCGCGCACGAGCATGGTCTCCTTTAACTCTGTGCCCGTAACCGAGCACAGATTCTCCCAGCAAACCCCAGTCTGGCGAGATCTTCGAGCCGATCGGCCGTGGCGCGGTGCCAGTTCACCCTCAGAGCCGGCACACACACACTCTCTCGCTCATGATCCACTTCCATACCTTCCTTATCTTTTTCTTTAAATAAACTCTGTGACCAGATGTTCAGGGCATTTGCCCTGCGCACTTAATCATTATCTGGTTGTATGTCTGCCTCATTGTTTCTTGTCCCTTTTCTCTTCGACTCCAGGAAATGGGTTTTTGATAAACATATTGATTAAATCCATGACAATTACCCTGACCTGGATGACTGAGAACCTTCACCAGCATTTAGATTCATATGTAACGTGAGGAAATATGGGTTTTCTGTCACAAAGGTGGTGTTGGACTCAGCTGTGTCAAAGCTGGGTCGCTGAGAACTTTCACCCACAGATTAAGACCTGAACGCCAGCGAGTCTGGGAGGAAACCATAACATCTGCCACCTGCGGTACCAGAAGAAGGAGTTCTCATGGACAAGTTGTCATAACAAGTAAAAACATAAAGTTTAAACTTCCTTTTCTTGTTTTGAATGTTAAAAGTTTAATCATCAATTTGCTCATTATAAATGTGTTTTAATCAAATGAATGACTATTATGCTTTGGGGTAATTATAAGAGATTTAATGAATCCATAATTAGATAACGTTGAGAGTGTTTGTTGCTGACCTTCACACACACTCAAGCACACACACCCACACACAGATTCTCACAGTTAAACTCCAAAACACATTTGCTGACGCACACGTTTGCTTTGAGAGGAGAAAGGTTTTTGGTAAGTTTCAGTCTTTTGATTTCAGTTCGTGCTTGACAACGAAAGAGAGAGGACGTGTGAACAACCGCTGAAAGGGGGGAGCCGGTTGGCTCGTTCCCCCCCCCCCCCCCCCCTTTTCTCACGCTGTTCCTGCCAAGCCAGGCAGAATAGCTGAATCGCGACTTCTAACGCAGACTCATTACCGAGTCTTTTGATTTCTGAGTGAATTAACTTAAGAAAGCGCATCGACAAAACGCTCTACCATCCACGTGTACCGAGGGCAACTCTGGACCGGTTCCGTTCGACACCTACGTCTCCTGTCAGCCGCCGGTGTCATCTGGATGAACCACAACGTCCTCCACGGCCCGGATCCGAAAGAGGGTCCACAAGAGTTCGGTGAGACAGAGCACGGTGTTTAGCGTTTGATGCAGTTCTCTGATAAGACCTAAGTTTATCCAAACCATCACTTCACTCAGACACCTGTTTCTTCCTGAAGCAAAATCAGATGCACACACGCATTCATCTCACCTCATGTTCAATTCTCATGACACTTTGCACACACATGCATCCATAATCACATCATATCACTCTCAATCTTCATTCACCGACAGAAGGTCTATTTGAGCAAGAACAGCATATCAACTGTTAAAGATTGTCCTACAAGTTGCCAATGTTGATTGTTATTTCCTGTTTGTCAATTTCAAAATCATTAGTTTAATTTGAAGAATTAAAACTTTTAATTGTCAAACTGGTTTCCTCATTGAACTGAAACACAGACACACAGATATTATCGTCAGTTTATCGATGAAAACAACCTTTGAGTCTTCTTAACAATATAACTGAGTAAAGACAGTTTCTCCTTACAATATAACTGAGCCAGTCAATATTTTCTTTACAAATATGGCTGAGCCAGCCAAATTTCTTTACACATATATTGACCCAGCATCAATTGGGCTCCGTTGTGTCGCAGATATCAAGATTTATTTTTGTTTTTAATCGATCAAATAGGTGCAGGTTAGTTTGAAGGAAATTAACTTACCGTCTACTTTTTTAGATGTAAGGCGATGCTGCTTCGTCTTCAAAATCTAGTTGGAAAGAGGAGAGACTAATCTGAGTAAGTACACCTGTTTCTATCTGAAACAACCGAGATCCTTCCCAAGATTGTTTCTGGTAAACTTGGTGCTGACTAGATAGGATTTACATCAAGTCTAGTATCACATTTAGCCAGCGTCCATTGCCATGCCCCCTAATGAAAGGTTACTGTTGTCTGTTACATGACAAATTTGTGCAGGATCTGCTGGAAAAAGGCAGAAGACAGGAAATGAGAAAAGACGAGAGGCTTCTACTTCACTGCTGACCGCAGGCCCTTGTGACAAAGTTTGGACCACATCACCAACTTCAGGACCAACTCCAGCTCCTCACACTACCTTCCAAATGAACTCAATGCATTCTCCACACACCTCCCATAGTGCATATTGTCATTGTCGGCAGGATACAAGGCAGGTGATCTTTTATGCTTCTGAAGAACCGTGAACTACTTGGTTTGAGATCATGAGCCTAAGCTGGAGGGTGACGGGTCACCTGTGGGAGTTCAATCCTACTTTCTTTCCCCCAGAGAAGCAAAATGGATCTGCTGCTGCGGAGCAGGTTCAATAATTCCATTCCTTGCATGTTATGCTGACCCCAGCATTAGAGGGGTCCAATGGGCCATTCCCATCTGTACCGGGTCGGCCCGGGCCGGGTAGCCCCAGCCTGGCCCGGTTGATTCCACACATCCTTGTCTTAAGCCCATGTGGGCTGATTCTACCCACCAATCAGAGGATTGCTCTAATGGAAGGTGTGAATTTGCTGTCAGCAGTGGGTGTGTTGGCCCTGGTCGGCCTGAAGCAGACCCCCTCGAGAAGAGGGCTGAAAATGAGCCTTGGTTGGCCTGGAAAAATACCAGGCCACCCAGATATGTAAACAACCTACGCTACCCGGCCCGGGCTGACCCGGTACAGATGGGAATGGCCCACAAGTGTGCTGCCAGGGTGGCCAGAGCGGTTACAGCAAAACAGCTAACATCAGGTGATGGGTGGATGTGACCTGCAGCTAGTTTTCTTTAAAGGAGCAACATGTAGGATTCAACAGTGGAACATTCACTAAACAGCCTACTCTCTCAATCATGTTGGAAGGAAGGTTATACGGAGACAGATTTCATTTTCAGCTGGCTTCTCAGATTTTCTCCATTCAAATACCCAAAGAGGGATGTAGTCACTGTTCACAATATGCAAGTTTGCAGAGTCTGCGCCGATCTAACGCTGCACAGACGTTTGAAGAATTGAAAGTGTTTTAGTCTATGACTGCAGTACATAGATGTAGCCACTGCTTCATTCCTACATATTGCACCTTTAAAGTGAAACTGTTAATTCTGTAAGGTACTGAAAACGTCAAGAACAAAGCTGCTTCAATCACTCTCTGTGAGAGGGATTTTGTGCAAAAAGATATGACAAACAGGTAAAGCAATGGCAACTTGTTTATTCTGAACAGACGAAGCATGGACCGTGAATGCAAAACTAAATGTTTCACTAGTATAAAAAAGAAGACATTAAACTGAATACAGAAAAGACCCGGACATGTGTAAATAATTGTTTTGCAACAGTTAAAATGAAAAAAAAAAGCTTCTTGATCAAAGCAATAAATAAAGCTTTAGATGAAGCCTTCAGGCCGTTCTCTGTAGTCTCCCTCTTTGTTCCAACACGTAAAAATGATTGGAGGTAAATGAGCTTGTTTTTAAATTAGCATCTGTAAAAAATTGGGAAGATTTAATGAGCAGACTTATGATCTGAAACTTAATTGTCCCATTTGCCATGCCAAAGTGCTTCATCCTAAATCAGGGACTCAGATGACATTTAGACTGGTGTTCATTTAAAGCAAACATAAATTTAAAATCCCTTTCAGATGGGTAAAACTCTTACAGGAACCTCATTGAGATCAATGCTGTATTCATGTGTTTGCACATTTAAACACATACTTTCTTATTTTCAGATATAATGCAAAAAAGAAAAAAGAAATGAACAGAATTCCCTTATTTAAATCAAACAGGCAGATTTTATATAAAATAGCAAACATTCTCCAACTGTCTGGTCTTAAAAAATTAGGCTGACAAATGACAACTGATTTTTGTTATTAATTACGTTAATAGATGCATTGAAATTTCCCAAATAAAATCAGGAAATTGAGTCAGAAATCAGATTCTAAAAAATTCAGTCTTGCTTTGTGAAAGTTTTCAGCTGATAAATAATTTTACGGTGAGTTTTGGCTCATTTGGTCCCAGCCTGCATGCGAAGGGCGTCGGCTGCAGCTTCAGGTGAAAACTCGAAATAAACGTGATGTCATCAATGCAAAGATAGAAAAACAGCTTCTCTTCAGAAACAGACTGAAATCACCCAAAATGGCATGTTTGAAATATGATACGACTTATGTGCACGTACAGATGTGGTTAACCCTGTAGCATTAGAAATGTCTGATAGGTTCAAATTATTTCAAGTTTGGTTTTCTTCATTGTTCAGACGCGTAGGACTGATCACACAGAGGAGCGAAAATAAGGACAGGAGTGAATCAAACCGCTTTTAGTCAAAAACGAACGATTATTTCAGTAAACTGAACCGTCACAATGTGAAAGGTTTGTCTTTTTTCTGTGTGTGGCTGTTCACATTAGCATATCTGAGAGCCGTAATTATTATTGAACCGTTTAGTATTCTGTCTGTTCTGGCAGTGAATGATTGAGTCGACAGCCGTGGAGGATTTTCAGCTTCTGATTGTGAGCATTAAAAACAAACAGCTGGAGCTGCGGTGTGCTGCTGGTGAGAAGAATGGGCGTGCATTATGGGTTTAGTTGATATGATTGTCTGATCGATTCTCTCTGCGGGTCTAGGTGTGGGAGGCTCTCGGTAAAACTACACACCGCACCGATACGATTCACGACCACAGAAAAACACAACTCTTCACCACAGTCATGCTGTCAGGACTCCAAACGCAACGCATGCAAACCGCTTGCCCTAATTCAATAAAAGATAAAGATGTGTTAGGAAAACCTTACACACAAACCGAACATATATCATTTGTCTCAATTTTAAACAGTTTGTATACAAAATACATTTACACGTATAGTCCAAGAGATTGCCTTTGGTCGAGAAAAATATCTTAGTATTTACAGGCATTAAATGTTATTTTACAAGAATGAAACAAATAACAAAAAGTACTCAAGATCATGTAACTGATCAAAATGAGGAAAGCTGATACCAAGTATCTCATCATTTCCATTCGGACAGTTCCAAATATTTAAAGTGCATCTGCATTTTTTTCCTCAGCATTAAATGTGAAAGAAACCTCCATCAATAAGGCAGATTGGTACACACACACACACACACACACACACACTTGTTCAGAAGGACACTAAGAGATTGAAGGGGCACGGCTAGATGACAATCCTCCAGAATGATGATTTATAAACTAAATGGGGACTCGTTGCAGGTGTTATTATAAACCAAGTGAATAATAATAATTTTAACAATAAAATAATAGCAGCCTCTTCACACACCATCTAATGATGCTTCTGTCACACAGCTGTAAAAAGAAAGGGACATCAATCATGGGAGGAAACAATCAGTCAGAGTTCATTCATAGTGGATGAAACACACGAGGAGGTCACGTTGTTTAGCATTCTCCTGGTCACAGAGCGGCCATCTGACTTCATGAGGACCACCGAGCTTCTCTGTGCTGCGCTGCCACCTGCTGGTGTGGCTGTTTCTGGCCACACCCGGCCACACAGGTTAGGAGGTTTTCCCCACGATGGGGTTGTCACTGAATCAGTAGAGCAGAGGGACAAAGGGAATCATGAATCCATAATTCATTCACCTGCCTGTTCCCACACTAGAACTTGTGTTTTACGTGTTTGATAGTGAACTTACAGGCTTCCGTACTGTGCTGTGATGTTGTTCCTGCTGTTGTGCTGCCTTTGCAACTCCTCCATGACGTTTCGGAGCTGTTTGAGCGTCTGGAATGTCTCTTTGGGTTCCTGAATGGTGAACTTGGAGTATTCCTCTTGCTCTCGCTGAGGGCCCTGGTACACCGCCATACTGGCACACGCATCTACAGAGAGGGCACACGTTACTGCACATCCTAACCCAATCTAAACCATCAGAAACAGACACGTGGAACGTGTTAGTGAAGTTGTGCATTAAGTGTGGTTTCAATATGAGAAAAACTGCTAAAGTATCTTTATACACGTAACATCTTTAAAAAAAACTTTATTAAAGGTCAGATCTGTGACAATATCTGGGTCAAGCCTTCATGCCTCGAGGGTCAAAACTTCATGCCTCGAGACTGATACTGACCCTCCATGTTCTGGAGCTTGGCTTCATTTGAGGAGAGGAGGGAGAAAATTCTCTCTGCTTCCCGGTCACAGTCAATGTCCAGCTGCAGGTTGGCCAGCATGGTGCTACAGCAGGAGAAACACAAAACGTGGAGTAAAATAATAATTAAGAGACAGAAAAGCTTTGTCAAATAGAGCATTTATTACAGAACTTCCACTTAAAATGATCAGATTGTTACCAAGTTATCTTATTCCTGAGATTCTACACAGGACGTCAAACCTAAGAGCAGTTTTTTTGAGAGTGATGGGTGATTTCATCCCGTTGATGTACTGAGCAGCACTCACATTGTGCAGGGCTTGCAGCCTGGAGCGGTGGTACTCTGGAGTTTGCAGCACTGCCAGGCTCCGCCCGTGTAAATGGACGGGTGGAAATTCGCCAAGCGTCCCTCGTTGCAGCGGCTGACCTGACCCAGGGTCTCCAACCACTCGCTGGCCTCCACACAGTTTCCTGCCTGAACATAAAGAGGCTTCTCATTGTGGACCACCTGAAACATCTGACAGGAGAAAAGAAAACAGGAGTTCAGTAAAGATAGGACACACTTCCTACATCTAAATAAACTCATCTTTCACTTTCAGATTGTCATTTCCAAACTCTTAACTGAATCAGCGAGAGCTCATGCGACCAGAAGCGTTCGGGTTTTATTTGCTTTACCTCAGGGAACTGATACTGGCTCTAGTTCCCTTTCACAAGGGGAAACCAATATGAGGTGATGACTGACAGATCACAAAGAAAATGGCTCACATTTTTGCGGTTAAAGGCACTTTCATCCAATTTCTCCACCGCCCGGATGTTTTTGATGTTGATGGTGCAGAGGGCCTCTTTCCCTGTGGAGCATAAAGCATTTCTGTCCTGTTTATGCTACAAACAGTGAAAAGATCTAATAACACTACCGGTGGAGCAATTACAAGATGCTGACAAACTGCAAATGTAACAAAATCTAAAAGTTTACCAAAAAAACAAACAAACAAATATTTTATTTCAAGTCATTTTTGTCCCACAATTAAAGGTCAAAAAAGTCTAATTCATCTGTGAATCCTCCGTTTAGAAGTACTGTCTGTGCATGATCAGGACTATTCCAGCATTCACACCAATTAGCGGAAACAAAACCTGCTTATGTTAGCGGTAGTTGGACTGGGCAGCTGGTGATGAACAGGAGTCTCACCTTTACATTTGTGGTAGGACAGCTCCCTGTTGGTCACTCTGAGCCATCTCTTCTTAAAGCGTTTCTTCACAAGAGACTTTTTTGTTTGGGTGCGTTTCTGCACTTCCCTGTGTATAAAACTCATGTTTTTACTCATTTAGGGCAATTAAATTAATAATATAACATATGCTAATAAAATGTGGAAATGTATTTCACTTCAGTAACATAAAAATGCAAAAAAAATTCATGTCCGTCTTTACGTGCACGTTTAAAATATTTAATAGAATTTTTATCTGATTGCAGCAGAAGCCTCCTTCAACTTTTATCACAAACATCTTTCTGTATTTTCCCATCTCATATTTTATGTGGCGAGTAATTAAAGCAGCAGCGACAGCTGTAACGTGGTACCGGCTCCTCACTAACTCACCCCTCCTTCAGGACAACAGCATCCTCCACTCCGCTGGACTCTTTGTTGACAGTAGATGAGATTTCACCAAGAAACTGGAAACAGAGTAAATGATGACACAAAAACAAATATTGAAAATGCTTTAGAGCTTTACAAATTTTTAAAACAAATACCTTTTTCACTTTTTCAATGCAATTGTCTTCTTGGAATAATTTGAAGAAGTCATACATGTAGCTTTCTTTAAAACTGGACTAAAGAGGGACAAAAAAAAAGATTAATCAAAGATACAATTAAACATTCAAACAAGTGTTCCTCTAAATGACATTCAGCTTAGACTTTGGGTTCATCATTTTAATTTCTGCTGATTTATTAAGGCATTGGTTTATGTGTCCCTTTCTCACCAGTTTTTTGGACAAACTTCCCCAGCTTCCCAGAGTCTGGATGGTTTTGGAGATGAGAGTGAGTGTGCGGGATATCTCCGGATCCTGCAGCCACAGAAAACACAAAATTACTCAAGTGTGCAGATGACTGATTTAGTGTTTAGAGGCTTAAGCTTACAGGGTGATGGGGGCGCAGTTGGAAGGAGTGTGGGGAGAGAACGGCCACGGCAAAAAAACGCAGGAACACAAAGCTGCTCACAGCCGAGTACTGAACATGTGGGTCACCTGTAATCAGACTAGTTAGTGTAATGAAAACAGCTAACACACACACACACACACACACACACACACACACACACACACACACACACACACACACACACACACACACACACACACACACACACACACACACACACACACACACACACACACACACACACACCTCTAAAACAACAACACAGAACTCTTCCCAATATTAAACATTTAATCTTGACTGCAATTATAAATCGGCTTCAGGTGTTATTTAATTCCATGACTTATTTAAATTAAAGCAACTAAAATAAAGAAAATGAACAACAGAACACTCCGAACGGTTTCTGAAAGAGTGACTACACAATTACAACTCTAGGATCTTTAAGGTGGTCTAACTACTTTTTTATATTCAGCTGGAATATGTCTACATGAAACTTTGTTGGGGCTCAAAATGACCGAGGATCCTCGATAAAAGGCCAAATACAACCCTGTAATAAACTTGTCCGTGACATGAATGTCAAAGGAGCTGTGTGCTGATTGGCCAGTTTGCTCTGATGGCTCCATGACAACCTGAAGCTAAAAAAAAAGTCTACAGCCATGTACGATATCAGGACAACTCAACTGGCCGGCATTCACTCAAAGTCTGGAAATTCCCAGTACATCCTGGAATGTGAGTGATGTCTATGGTGTTTTCCTCTTGTCCAACACAGATGTTAGCGGTAGCTCAGGTTAGCATTAGCAGTAGTTTGGGCTAGCATTAGGAATAGTTTACGCTAGCATTAGCAGTAGCTTAAGCTAGTGTTAGCAGTAGCTTTGTGTAACATTAGCAATTGCTTGGGGTGTTTCTCAATGCCAAGGAACCTCTCCTTGATGTGTTGTTCTCGCCCCGGTTGCCTAGGAGATACGCCAAACGTGTGTGTGTGGGGGGGGGGGGGGGGGGGGTAAATTAGGCTAATTTTAGCAGTACTTTGGCTAGTATTAGCTTAGGCTAGCATTAGCAGTAGTTTAGGCTAGAATTAGCAGTAGCTTAGACTAGCGTTAGCAGTACCTAGCATTGTTTGCTGGTTAGAATAAACTTGACCAATATTTTTATATTGGTGATGTAAAAATGGGTTGGGTTATGCAAATTTAAGGGGACGTGTCTTCGCCTGTCATGTGTTAAACCAGCTTTCTCAGGGTGAACCATTTCTCAGTGGCCATTCCAACATTTCTAATTTACATGGGAAAGCAGGTCAGAGACGGCACACACGTTTGGTATGCTATATTAGACACCCTAAGCTGTCTTTTTTCAACAACATGTTAAATGCGAATTTGAATTCAAGGATCCCACTGTCTGTCTTTTGAAAGCATCGTGGTGCAAGGGCGATGGGAAAATATTGTGGCATTCATGTTGCCAAGCTTAATAATATTCCCACAATGGCAGACATCATTGCGTAACAGATGGTGATTTTATGATCTGGTGTGGAATATCCGCCGTGCTCTGGCTGGCAACGATATTGAAAATGAAAGTAAATGCAGGCAGTCAGTTTTGCTTTTGCCGTGCAGAGATCCAGGAGCTTCTGGCCAGTATCGCTGAAGCAAGGGACAGACACCTTTTGGAGCAGCTTATGAAAAGACTTAACAAGCATGACTTCAATTGGCATAAAAAACAAGTTACATCCAAGCTAAAAGGAAGTCCATGAGAGCACAGAGACTCCTCCCACACCCCATTTATACCGCCATCACATAATCTTTTGTGATCGTGCAACATTACCACCACAGGCTGACCACTTATAAATGACCAAGGGCTCCCAGATACTGCCTCCACTTTGCAGCAAAATCACACCATTGTTTTACGAAAGCGGTTTGAAAGAACCCTGAAAATAGTAATGATGACATGTGATAACTTTTTCCACCATTTTGTTCATACCTGGGAATCGTTTGCAGGCCAAGTGTCTGAGAGACCTGAATACGTCGCACATGAGAGGGGGGCAGTTGGCACTGGATTGGGTGATGGAGGAGAAGACTTTCTTCACATAAACATGAAGGTTTTCCTGCAATAAAAACACAATGGCTGTGTGACTGAAGTGTGCTTCTGTGTTTATACCAAAACATTACACAAGCGGCTGTAAGGTTATGATATTACAAAGAGAGAAACTCAATGCTACAGAGATAACTCGGCTTTTGTTAAGCCTGAGAGAAAGCAGAAGGGCGAAGAACGTTTACCTTGTTGACCTCCGCATTGTCACCTTCCTTTAGTCTGATGGGGTCAATTTCACATGTTTTGTTAGATTCACAAATCTATGAAAACATAAAAGAAATAAAAATATTTAAACAGTGAAGTCAGTTGGGTAGAGGACTATAAATAGGAGATGGGGTTCAAACCTACCAACATCTGATAGTATGACACAAAAAGGCAGAGCTCTGAGTGGATTTAAACTGTACAGATTCTGGTCATGAAATGAGAAGTCCACGACAAAGTTGATTGATTTCAGTAATTTCGTTCAAAAGTGAAACTTGTGTGTTAGAGTCATTCATTACACACAGACTGATATATTTCAATTGTTTATTTCTTTAATGTTGATCATTGTAACTGACAACTAATCAAAATCCCAAATTCCGTATCTCAGATTATTAGAATATCAATCAATCAATCAAAGATATTTATTAATCCCAGAGGGAAATTAAGACCAATGCAAAAAAAAAAAAAAAAAAAAGAATTTTAGAAACTGCCAAACAACTGAGCGGTGTTTTTAGCAGATTGTTTCAAACATGTGGAAGTAAGTCAGATTCCAACTTTGTGGAAAACTTCAATTATAATCCCAATCCCAATCCCAAAATGAAGTACCTCAAAGGCACTGTCTGATTTTAGACCAGTAGCACTCACATCTCTTGTGATGAAAACTTTTGAGAAAATTTTAAAATCTGAAATTTTATTTCTGACAGAGGGGAAACTTGACCCACTTCAATTTGCCCATCAGCAAAACAAGGGTGTGGAGGAAACAGGGCTTTTTGTATTGAACACGGTCTACAGGCACCTTGATAAAACGGGGACTTGTGTAAGGCTCTTGTCTGCAGACTTCAGCCTTTAACAAGATGCAGCCCCACATCCTGATTGAAAGACTTGCCAGTGTCTAATTTGCCCAATCAGCTTCTTTTATTGATTTTGAACTTTCTTACGGAGAGGATCCAGCGAGTGTTTGTGAACGGTCAGATGTCCCTGACATCAATGTCCAACACCAGATCTCCTCAGGGGTGCGTTCTGCCCCCCTTGTTGTTCATTCTGTAAACAGATAACTGCCAGGTCACTCAGAACAACAGGTTCTCAGTCAAGTTTTCAGACGACAATGTTTTGATGTCCTTGCTTTCGGGATCTGAAATGAACCATGGCCCTGCGTTGTCAGACTTCATAGAATGGTGCGACAGTAACTGCCTGGACTTGAATGTTACACAAACCAAGGACATGGTTATTGATTTTAGATGCTCCGCACCACCCCATCTCTCCATCTCAGCAGCAGTATCATCCACGGTGAAGTGGTTGAGGAGTACAAATATCTTTGTTCTGGGATCGACAACAAGCTGCGGTTTGTCACAAACACAGACTCCATTTTTAAACGAGCTCAGCAGAGAATCTATCTTTCAAGGAAATTGAATTATTTTAATGTGAATAAAAGGATTCTCTGCAACTTTTATTGCTGTTTTATAGAAAGCTTTTTAACCTTCTCATTTGTTTGTTGGTACAAAGCCTCGTCTATGAAGGATAAAAATAAGCTGCAGAACATTATCAAAATCTGCTCTATAATTATTGGAGCAAAGCAAAGAGACTTACGGTCTCTATGGGAGGATAGGGCACTAAAAAAGGCTAAAGGTATCTTAGGTCAGCGCCTCCATGCTCTGCACTCTTGAGCTTTCACTCATGCCCTCAGGACGTCGTTTTTATGTACCTTATCGGAAAACAAACCGTTTCGCCAACTCCTTTGTTACATCGGCTACTGAACCGCTTAACTCTGAGTCTGGAAGGGTTGCTAAATAACACTGGCCTTTAAGTATGAGCCCATTTTAGAGGGCTACTGCTCACTTATGTTTTCGGGATGTTGGTAGTGACACACATTGTGTGATTGTTTGATGGACTGTATAAGTGAGTGATTGTGTTTTTCACAATGTTGATCTTGTGGTAAGCTACAAATTAATTGTCCCTTGGGGACCAATGAAGTTTTCTGATTCTGATGGCCAACTGAAAGGTATGATCATGTACATAACTCAGTATTTAGTTGGGGCTCCTTTGACCTAGATTATTGCAGCAATGCGGCGTGGCATGGAGCTGACCAGTCTGTGGTACTGCTCAGGTGTTATGACTCTGAGAGCCCATGTTGCATTGATAGTGGCCTTCAGCCCTTCTGAATTGTTGGTCTGATGTATTACATCTTCCTCTTCACAATACCCCAAAGATTTTCTATGGGGTAGAGGTCAGGCGAGTTTGCTGGCCAATCAAATCAGGGATTCCATGGTCCTTAAACCAGGTACTGGTATTCCAAAAGGGTTCAAATGAAGACAGCTTGACTTCTTTGGTTTCTTGAAGATGTTTTGCTTCTAATCAGAGGAGCTTTGTCAATTTTAACTGGAATTTGGGAGAGTCAAGCTTATAAACTGTGACCTAGACTGAAACTGCTTAGGAATGACATTCAAAGCTGCATTGTAGGTACTGGAAAGGTGAAATCTAAGAAAACCAAGAAGTAGAAGAAGAAAATCACAGACCATTTACAGAAACTGCTAAAGGACAAAGTAATCAACTGCACATTTTACTACATACTATCCAGGAGAAGCCACCCCATGTATACACGGTCTTCCAAAGATTCACAAGGAAGGAACACCACTCAGACCCATCATCAGCAGCATCAATCCTGGCCCGGCTGGTTAGAAAGACCCAACATCAAATATAGAATTCGGTGGACTTTGCAAAGAAAGTTCACGATCTCAAACTGGCTCCAGGGAAAACCATTGTCTCAGTTGACACATGTATACCCAGATGAAGCAGTGGAAGCAGTTAGGAAATAACTGGAACAAGATGGTTCTTTAAAGGAGAGGACATAATTTACTCCAGACCAGATCTGTACCCTCCTGGATCTCTGCCTTTCTACCACCTACTTCAAACACAATGACAAGTTTTACCCAAGCCTCCATAATTCAGTTCTGGATATGAAGCAAACAAAGAAGTGGCAAAAATTGCAGCTCCACCCTCATCCACTGGGGGCTGGTGTCAGAAATGAGTAAATCCTCCTCATTGACTACCATGTTAAAAATGCCAATTTCACAGCAGAAATAAACATGTTTACAGCCTAGTTACAAAAACATATTTTAGGTTTAAAATATCTAGTTTACACTCATGACAACTCTGAGGGGGTGCATTTTTGTTACTCTTCTGTTTAAGTGCATTAAATGCTTAGAAAGCTGAACAATTAATGAGCATCCATGTTACTTCAGACCTAGATCCGAAGAAAGGCCTCAGCCTAGCAAGAAAAATGTGGTAACGCTAAAAACACCAGAGAAAACTGTGTTAGCTTTGGGTTAGCATACAGCTAATGTTCCGCTAACCTCCATTCGTGGTGAATGAGCTGATCCAAAAGAACAGGGCTCCTGATAACAGCGGTCTGGCTCTGCTTGTAATTTAAGAGTCCCAGTCCATATTAGATCTCCACAGGCGACCAGCATGACTACAAGTTCCAGTTCATTTTATTTATAAAGCCCGTTCCCAACCCCAATCACGGGGGCCCAATGTGCTGAACATGGTGCACAGAAGCAGCACAATAAAACAGCTCTATAATAAAATACTGAGATAAAAACATTTAAAAACAACAACAAAAAAGAGCTGAAAACAATATAAGAATAGTGATCAAAAACATTAAAATATGAATAGAAACAACTAAGAAACAGATCTAAAATACAGCTTAAGCCTTGCTTTAAAAGTGGGCAGCAATGTGGACTGTTTGATTTCTTGTGGGAATTGGTTACAAAGCCGAGGACCCAGAACTGCAAAGTCATGATCACCCCTAGACTTACGTTTGGTTTATGCTTGATGCGTCCACGAGGTTCGCACCGCTCCGTGCTGCAAAATTGCGTCATTTTAACAACCACGCCCCTCCACCGCGCCTCCGCACGGCCCAAACTTTCCGCACCGTGCACCTAGGAAATTTTCTAACCACGCGGACGGTCGGAGGCGGAAAAACATGGCAGACTGGCAAGAACTAGTATGGCAGAGGTTCGTAAATACAGACATTTGTATGATTCAGCTCTCAAAGATCACCGTGATCAACATGTTGTTAATAATTCTTGGAGAGAAATAGCTCACACTGACGGAAAAGACGAGGACGCTGTTAAAAACTGCTGGAATGCCATGTTGTAAACAACAGTAATTTTTACTTCTACTATGGTGTAGTGTTGGTTGCATGCCATACAGCTCCATGCTGCCCCCTACAGTTTGGGAGAATATTGGCTCACCGCAGAGACGAGCCGCATGAACCATAAACGCTGCAAGTTGTGAAGCGCGTTCCATCCACGAGCCTCATCACCAAGCGGAAAGAGAATGCGTCACGCATAAACCAAGCCTTACTCTTTGATCGCATTACCACCAAAAGGTCACTCTGATCCGAACGTAGCGATCTAGCAGGGACGTAACGGGTCAGCAGGGATGCTAAATAAGGTGGCGCTGATAATATATATATATAATGAAATGAGTGAAATGTGTTCATGACACTGAAGCACCAAAAACAGTTTTCTTGATTGATACGCAGTAAACATAACAAAATACCAACAAACTAATAAATATTATATATATATATATATATATATACCTACATAGTTATATATGTCTAAATAGGAATATGTATATATGTATCATAGACAATAACAACACTAAGAAAACAAGGCAAAAAAATAGGGCTGCACAATATATCGAAAAATTATCGTCATCGCGATAACAGGACGTGTGATAGGCCCATCGCAAAGCACGTCAAAAACGGCGATAAATGTTTGGTTCAAACATTTCCATCCGTGTCATTCATCAACTTTTTGTAAACCAGCTCTGTTTTTTACGCTAAAGTATTATTTGACCATTCAAATGTAGCCCTTCTGATATGCGGCCAATCAGATGGGTCCGTTCACGTAATACGCCCGCCCCCTACGAGCTGCCCTGCGCTGCTCGGCTGTCTCCATCCGAAGGTTGAGATGTTTGCCAGCTTACATAACCGCTCTTGTTTTCGGCACCACCACTTCCTCCGCTCGCCGACACCGGAGCGTCGGAGACAGTGCTGCCGAGCGGAGCTTCCCGGGCTGCGCTTACTTTGGGCCGCTGTGCCGCCGCCTGGTTCACCCGCTACAGCACAGACGGTATCCCCAAAATTCCACCATCTCCGCTCCGCTTTCTGCTCGCTTCCCTTGTTCGTCATGCTGGCTCAGATTAACGAACGCACTTTGTGCTGAGGTTTCTGGCTCCGGTTAGCTTTCCAGCTAAAAGGCTACAGCACTCTCCTCCCAGTCCCACCCTGCTAAAGAGGGCCTGGAAAAGTTCCCCCACACATCAAAGTGATTTTTCATTCATGAGCTTTTATAACCTTGTAAATCAGGATAGTTGATTTGCTGCTGCACATAAGTCAGTCAGAATCTCTGCTAGCCGGTTATCTTAAGAGGAGCTAGTTCAATTTGTTAGCTTGTTATCAGAATCATAGTTGCAGTTTCATCATCTGAGCTGCTTTTTAAGATCTAGGTAAACTTGTTCAATTTGGGGTTAAAAACAAACGTTTTCACATATTTTCCATGTAGTTTTTTTTGCCAGTTCCTCTTCTGAAAGGTAGACAATTGTTTTTCCCTTTTCCTCAGAAAATCTTAATGTTCTCCTAGTTTGGCCCAGCACAGTTCACTTCCCAATTACAGCAACAGCCTTATATCATAACCACATAAGTGGAGAAAATGTTCAGTAGCAATGAGAGAGAATTTGCTGTTGCATGTAAGTGATGTTAACTATTATTTAACATTTAAACTTATTTTCTGATTTTTTTTTATTTATTCCAAAAACCCTGGTAAGGGATGTTTTTCTGTATTTGGAGCATCAGAAAAAGTTTTATGGTGGAGGTGATGTTTTAAAGTCACTGAGAAACTGCATGCATGCAGTTTGTTGTTTTGCTGCTAATACAGTAGCAGGTGCAGCTGCATATTTTTGCAATAAAAATGTTATGTTGTAATGGAATTTATGCATTAGTTTTTGTTTGCTTTGAACCCAGAGCAGACGTCACACGCCAGATGACATCAACGCTGCATACTTTAGTATTTGTTCATTTATCGTGAGTAATATCGATATCGCAATATTAAGCACTGTTATCGAATATCGTAGGTTTTCCTAATATCGTGCAGCCCTACAAAAAAAAAAAAATTAAATAAATCTGCAATTGTGATGCAATCCAATATGGCTGCCACCTGATGACATCATAATATGCAAATTATGTGAGTGAATTTGTTCCCATCACAAATTTGGCTCATACTGAAGATTTTTCTAATTTACAATATTCCTCTATCTCTAACCAGATTTAAGCTACAAGCTCTTTAAATAGTGAAATAAAAAATCATATTTTACTGAAGAAACTATGGCGCCTAAAGGGTTAAGGAATAAACATGTGAAACATTTTAGTCTGTGTAATGAATGAATCCAGTATTCAAGTTTAAATTTTGAACGGAATTACTGAAATACATCAGTTATGACATTAAAATTTCATGGCCAGCACCTTTACTGTGTGTGTGTGTGTGTGTGTGTGTGAGTTAGTCCTTTTCATACCTCATCGATTACAGGCTTTAGCGTAACAGCCAGGTAACTCTTCCCTACAATCTTCATCATGTCGTCGATGCAGCGAGTTGCCAGAGAGTTGCCACGGAAAATAGTGTTAGCCTCCCTGCACGAACAAGGAAGTATTCCACAAAATCAGATTTCAATGTTCTTTTTTAATACACTTCAGCAAAAACAACATTAATGCAGTTAAACAGATTCCACACTTAAGCTCAGATTTATTTCAATGCCGTTTCCTGTTTTATATTTGGGTGTGGCTAAATTATTATAAGGAACTTGACTTTCTAAAGTGATATCTGACTGTGTCTCTGCCACAGAGGACACTGGACATCAGAGTACTCACTGAGTGTTCTCCAGCTCTAGTGCTGCCACGGCAGAGACGAAAGGCACAAAACGATTATGATAAAGCAGCAGTCGGACCATTGGCAGAACCGCCTCGTATCGCTCTCTGCAGATGTCTCCCAAGATGTGTGCTGCTGATGCTGAGATGGGCTGAAAGATTGTGTTATTTTAGATTGAAATATTTCAGAGAGGAACAACTAGTAAAGCTGACACACCTCAACAATAAAATAGCAGAAATACTACTTTGCCCTTTGATTCAGAGTAACAAGCTGCTGTGTTACCTTTCCATCTGGGGATTTGAGCAGCAGGTTGCAGAGTGGTGTGTAGCAGGCAGATGGCAGCACCGTGTCTTCAATGTAGGTCAGCTTTAAACGCAGGGATCCTAAATCATCAGATTTGGATTTGCTGCCGTTCCCTTTGGGCTGGAGGAGATACCTGTTAAGAGGACAGAGAGACAGAACAGTTTGGAAGACTGTCTTTGTCACAGTTCAGTTAGTCCCATAAAAAAGAGCTGACAGTCTGAAACATTGATACATGGACGTTTAACAGATAACTGGTGAAAAATGCTTTTTGACAGTAAGGTATAACCAGATCACAACAAAATTGGTAAAACTCCAAAAGTCATTTAGCTACTTGAAATTAGAGATGGAAATTTGGATATAACTGATAAGGATGAACAGATCTGATTAATCAAGATACAAATCAGCTGCTCAACTAAAAAGATGTTCAAAACTTGACTGGATCTAGAAAAGCACCTTTGTTAATGCACCTGTAGCTTTTATCACATCACAGCAACATAAAAGCAGCTGCTCAACGTCATGTTCCCCAACATAACAAAGTAAAGGAACATGACACACCAACGAAAACCTTTCATAGCCTTTCAGGTTTTTAGACAAAAGCTTGAAGCTCCAGGATTCTTCCAGGAACCAGGAAACCATGTGTCGAGAGTAAAACCAGCAAGATGTCCACAAGATTAAAATCCACCTAACTTTGCTTTAATAAAATATGAATTAGAACCATTTTAAATGCTTTTAGAACCACAACAGACCCTGAAAACTGAATGAAGGCGAACAGACTTCAACAGAAACTAGGTGCTAGAAAAGGTTTTATAGCAACAACACAAACCAGATGAAAGCAGCGGAGACATAACTAAGACCCAAATACAGACATTCAGTTTTTCAATACAGTACACCTGGCTTTTATTATGGAATAAAATCCATGTGAAGTAATGAAACGGTTTAATTTTGGCCCCTTGAGGTCTGATTTTTGTTCTTATGCCGTCACATGACTTTGTTTAACCTGTCAATTGTTTTTATTTTAGGTTTCTATCTGCGTCAGAGAAAAATCAAGGTTTTAGTGAACACTTACAAATTCCTCCACATTTGTTAAAGAAAGATTCAGAATGCAGATTTTTAAAAGGAAGATTTGGGTTTTCTTGAGCTAAAAGACAACAGTTCATTTCTAGAATTTTTCAAAACGACATGAATACATGCTGAGTCGAACAGCAGCCTTCACAAATCTGTAGCTACCAATTCCAAATTTACCTTAAATTTTTTTTTCTGATCTGCTCCGACAGTGTACAGAGTTTTATAACCCAACATGGAGCTTGAGGTAACACAGGACATGAGGTAATGCCACCATGCAAAGAGCCACCCACGCACCACGCTCACAGCATTCATGTGCTAACAGATTGCTATCTGGCACATCCCCATATCACCTATTCTGACACAAAGCTGGGATGCATCAGCTCAGAGGAAAAAAACAAACAACAACAAAAAACCTGCGGACATCTGGGCAGGTTTTCTTCAAGTCACTTGTGGTGGCTGAGAAAACTTGGCAGAACATGTTGTCCTAAATGAGGCGCAACAATACAGAAAGCTAGAGGTTTAGCTCAGGTTTAAGAGACTGATCCAGTGAGTTTACAACGCTGTCACACACATTCGTATTTAAACATGGTGATGAAAGCAACTCCAAAGTATGTTTCCGAGTGTTTGGAGCATAAATAAAGTATTTTCCTTGTTATGTCAGAGGTACTCCTCCTATTGCGTATTGCGGGATCTGGCTCAAGCAACAGCTGTGTGACTTGTGTCTATATTTGATTTTCTGAAAGTAAAAAATCTGTAACAGGAGTTTGCACTGTTGGCATGGTGTGAAGATGTACAATAAAAAGGAGGTATATTTTTATTTGTCTCGTTCTCACCAGGCTTTGTGAATGTGGTCATTTCTGAGGATCTTGACAGGAACTCGCGTCTCCCCGAGAAACACGTCCTGAGCCAGGTTTTCATTGTTCCACAGATCAACTCTGCAAAAGCAAGGATTAAGTGAGCGGGCAGAAATGGGCGTAATATATGCAGATGAGAAAGTTCCTCATCTGCATATATTAAGCCCATTTATATCATGTCAACACGTACGACTGTGGTCATCATGTGAGCTCCCCACAAACATAAACCACACATTTCTAGTTACACAAGCTGGACTCCAAAACAAGTCATCGAGTGGTGCTTACCTGCTTTGTGCATAAAACCAACACGATACCAACGCAATGACACCACTTCATATTCAAACCTCAAAACCATGCACGAGTGTTTACCTTTTAATCAGTCTACTCTTACCAAGGAGTCCACTGTGATGGAAGGCCTAAATATCCTTAACCAGAAAACAAGGCTCTCCATCAGCAGGGATTTCTCACTGATTTATTCTCAAAGTTAAAACAAATATTTGATTCTTCAGTCGGTGACAGGGAAATCAAGACAGATGGTACACAGATCAAATGACTCACTTAATCTCCAGCCTTTCAATGTCCTCCTCCTCCACAGGGAAATTAGACTTAGACTTAGAGTAGCTGCTGGGCCGTGTGACCTAAGGATGAACATGTCCCTGCTCACTAATGGAGTACTTTAAACACAAGCTGTCATTTTCAATAATTTGGTAAATTTAAACCCTTGGTATTGCAGAATTTACCTCAAAGAAGAATGTTTCTTCAAATTGAGGGTTGCTGGTTTTCTTCTTTACCTTCGTTTTCTTTTGGTCTGATCTGCAAAAAAAAAAAAAATAAAATAAAATATATATATATCCGCCAGGCTTTGCTTGCCCACCCGCCAGGCTAAGCGTCATGCCCCGCCCCCCTTCCCGACCCTACCGTGTCCGCTGACACGAATGGCGCAACAACACTAGAGCCCTCCATCAGCTGATAGTGGTGAGAAACAGCAGTGGAATGTGTGCAACCACCCCACCCCTGCTGTCACAGAGAAGCGCTACAGGACGGAACCCCCCCCCCCCCCCCCCCCCCCCCTTATTTTTTAAGTCAATTAGTTGGATGCCCTTTTGACTTGTGGTATTTTAATTAGTTTTACAAGTTAATTGTCTATGAACCCAAAAAGATTTACAGGGTATTTAACATATTAGCTTGGAAAAAACAATTGTAAGACATAGAAAATGTCTAATTCTGACAGGATGACTTTCTTTTTAGTAATGAACGGAAAAAAAAGTAATGAACAACGGATATTTACAGCAAAGATAAACAGAACTAAAATACTGGTTGTTGTCTTCAAGTAAAATTGTTTGTACTCGGCTGGCAGCTGCCAATTACCTCATAGTGGGAAAATCGGCTTGCTGCCAGTCAAAAATAAACAAATAAGTTACTTCTGTAAAACGTGCAAATCCGATCAACATCCTGTCAGGTGACACATTCTCTATTTTGTTAGAGCACGGCCTTAGCAGAGTTACCTGGCAGGTCCCGTGAGAGAAACGGTGGCATAAGGGTCACAGTTCTGGCCGCTGATCAAAGGCAGGTCCTTACACTCGATTATCCTAATGGCGTTCACAAGGAAACAAAACCAAAAAGTAGAATCACTTGTTAGCTGAAGTAAATACAAAATGCATTTAAAAATAAAGTGTACATCTGTCATTTCAGCTAAATGTGACAAAAACCTATGTGCTCCTAATGGGCTTTAATGCAAGTCGAACAGCTCAGTTTTCATCACAGTGTCATGAGAGCATAAAAAAGGTAAATAGTGTCTTGTTGGTTCAACAGCTGAGTGAAAACGCCATTGACCTGATCCATTACAATGCAGATAAACAAGGAACTTTCTGTATACAAACAGAAATGCTTGTTCTCGAGGTTGACACGTTGTTTAATCATTGTTATTATTATTATTTTTAATATCACTATACGAAGAGGTGTGCTGCATGTGTGCTACAGTGGTTACGAGCTGTGCTTTGCCCCGCTGTTTGGCTGCTGTCACATAGGGACCAAGTGTTTCAGGTGACAACAAACAGACACTGTAGGCACCTTAAACAGGATGTGGCTGCTAAGCAGGAGCCACCAGAGACTAAGGATGAATGCCGCCCATTGCTAAGTGAGGCCAGAGGGACGAGTCGAGCAGCCAAATGTCAGGATGTTTGTCTAAAATCTTCCGGAGTGTCATGACTATATTCCCTGCAGGCTTTAATGGTTGTGTGTTAACCCCCATGGTGGCTGATCTGCAGGACAGGCTGACTAAAAGCTTAGATCTGAGTCTTAGATCTGACTCTTGTAGGACAGCAAGAGTGCTTTCAGAGCGTGAGAGCTGACAGTGAGTATGCGATAGTTGAAGCAGACAAGCTGAGTGACACAGTGAATGACAGCAGAAGAAAACCACAGAGGCTGCAGTGTGAAAAGCACACACTTCCTGCTCAGATGCCATCACTTCCCCCTCATCACAGTGCTCCGCGAGTATGAATGGGGGGAAAGTGCAAAACAACATACATATATCTGCATACACACAGGCACATTTCACTCGCTCAGCTTAAATCCTTCAATGAGACTTTTCTGTCCAACGTCCTCTGATGGCGTCACGCGGGCAGAGATGTGAAACTTAACCATTAGTATGGTAATGGTGACAGATAAAGATCTTCTACAATGAAGGTGGAAAAAAAAAACTAAAGTTTCAGGGAACTAAGAGGAAAGTGATATACGTTTATCGGTACCACAAATCTTTTCGTGAAGGCTTTTCTCACAAACCGTCTGACTTTATAAAACAGATTAATCTCATTTGCATACAGGACAGATGGTGTTTTCTTGACTGAACTGAATTTGACTAAATGTGATTACTGCTGTCCAGAGAAGAAAAAAATCTTTGTACTTTTAGTTCATATTTTTCTAGCAACTCATAACAGCCAAAAATAAACCTGACACATTTTATAGATTCTGGTAGGGAAATAAAAGTTAGAGAAACAAGAAATAAATTGCAACTCTGATTTTTCCTTTATTTGCAAGTGTAATAATGTTTATTATGGCAACAAAAATGAAATTGTATAGATTTACGTAAAAATGTTTGTCGGACAAACACAAATAGCTGGAATGAAAATACCGTAAATCCTCTAATACAGGCCCGGGCCTGTATTTGACTCAAGCTCATCAAGCTCCAGGCCTTTATTGGAAGGAGGGCCAGTATTAGAGGCAGGCCTCTATTTCTATTTGAGCAAAATGAACTAATGGTTCGCTGGAGTTTTTGACAATTAAAATTGCGCCCACATTTTCAAAGTTAAACACATTTCTTTTAACAACGGTAGTTCCTGCTTCAGCCCTCTCCCCCCTCCCCCTGCACAGCGGCGCAAACTCACTGATGCGCCTGCAGCCTCTCGGAGTTCCTGCTGCTCTAAACATTAAAATAATTATTTCATTTTCTGTTCCTCACTTCTGATGACCTTTAATGGTGTCTGTTTGTTGCAACAGCAGGTACAAAAACTAACTTGTTTTTATTTGACTATTTTTCTGTCCTGCCTGTTTATTATCTTCCTGCATCTCCTCTCAATCCTAAAGAAAAACTGCTACCTGGGTTCATATATATTCACCTCATGAGTTACCTTTGAACTGCAGTTCTAAAAGATCTACCGACCGCAAAAACAGCGGAGCGCTTGCTGTTTGGCGGCTGTATCAGTGATCAGTGCGTCGGAGGACAAGGTGATGCGCGCAGCGCCCCGCTCCACAGCATGCAGCGAAACACATCAGGCGCAAATAAAAGACAGAAAACATTAAAGGAAATGAACTGACATGAACGATCGCGTGTTAAATTAGTTTTTGAGGTGGCGACACCTTACTGTGGCCGTGCTCAGGTGGCAGATCTACCGACCGCGAAAACAGCTGAGCGCTCCCTGCTGTGATCTGTGCATCGGAGGACAAGTTGATGCGCCCCGCTCCACAGCAGCGATACACATCAGGCGCAAATAAAAGACAGAAAACATTAAAGGAAATTAACCGACATGAACGATCGCGTGTCAGTACCTACGGTCTGGCACTTGAGTTTTACCCCCAAAAAGAGAATGTGATCATACGATAATTCAATAGGGAGCGTGGTTTCACAGACGCGGAAGTGATAGCGTCGGTGCTCTAGGAAACCCCCGAGCGTTCGAGCGTCAACGAAGTGACACGGAAATGCCGGGCTTTCCAGAAGTAAGTAAGATAACTTACTATGAGCTGATAGTTCGTTGGATTGATCGGTAGGTTGGAAACTCTGATCGTGAATCTGAAGAAACGATGACTGAGTGGTGAGCTGGAAAGGCGACTTCCGTTTATAGCCGCGGTTTGTGACGTAGGTGCGACGTGAAGGGAATCCCCGCGAGGGGCATGCTGGGAGTCCCTACTTCGCGGATTTTCACCTATCGCGGCCAGGTCTGGAACGCATCTACCGCGGAGGGATTGCTGTAGTTCATACACCCCCTACTGCTGCTCCCCAGAGTGTTCTGCAGCATAATCAGCACGTTCTCTTTGAACTTGATAGTGTAATGACCTGGCTGGGGTTGTAAGCCAGGTGCATTCTGGGTATTGTGTTATATGTGTTTCCTATCGTTCTGCTAGTTCCTATGTGCTGATTTGCGTGTTGTGTGAGTGTTATGTAAGCCACAGGGAAGGTGATGTGTGTTCTGTGGAGCGGGTTGAATTAGCATGGTTAACTGACACCGTGACTCTGTGTGGTAGGAGCATGATAGAGGATCGTGTCTGTAGCGTTGAAGAAAAGGCTTAATAAAGGTCTGCGTGAACCTCTACTGCCTCCTGCTGGTTGATTTGGGAACTATAACCCTGCCGCTGGGACGCTCGTACTTGCTTGTTACCACATGCCATCCGGCCACAATAAGATACCGGCCATTATTTACCTCCGCTGACTCAGACACCGGCCAAAATTGGAGACCCGGCCTTTAATTGAATACCGGCCTGTATTAGAGGATTTACGGTAGTCTGGTTTTTTGTGCCCTTTTCCTGCCTCTGTGCCAACGACTAATTGAAATGTCAGGTAGATGTTTGGAGAAGCCCATCGCATTTACAGGGATGAAATGAAATATTTCAGCTTTAACAGTGTAAAGATCAGTCTTTAATTACAAAACTTTTATTCAAACCTTCGTCCTTGGAGTCAGATCATTAGATTTAATTCTCAGCTTTTAAATTCACACTCTAGATATCATGCCATCTTTATCAATCTAAAGACAACCAACCTTTTCATACAAGGTTTGATTAGCCTTGCAACCTACCGGACTACTAACTGTTGACCTGTCGTGCCGCTTTCTGTGATCACTTCATTCAGTCGCATCTCCAAGTGAACTTTACCCTGTGGACAATGAAGACAAAAGCTTTAAGTCTTGAGCTTATTTTAAGATGCATAAAAAACGAGACACAAACAAGACGTTTATCAGAAAATACTTCTATTTTTTCTTGTAAAAAACATTATTTTAAATAAATGAAGGTAAAGTGTGTGACAAGAGCCACAGCATGCATATTTTGTCATCGCTCAAAAGGATCTTTGTGGGGTTGGATGTGGTGAAGGTTGCAAGTCTCGTCTTCGGAAGTGTCAGAGAGATAGAAAGAGCTAAACAAAACGTACACACACACACACACACACACACACACACACACACACACACACACACACACACACACACACACACACACACACACACACACACACACACACACACACACACACACACACACACACACACACACACACTTGGACTCAGTCTCTGCAATTCAGCACTTGGCTGATGAGGCAAGTACTTCTTCTCTGATCCAAGATGGGCCTTAAAGCCAAAATATTTCCTTTACATGGTCTAAATGAGCCAATATCTTCAGTAAATAACCCCCTTACCAACACCACCTTGCTGCTGAGCTATACATGCCGTGTGATCAAAAAATAAATAAATAAATAAAAATAGATCTCGTTAGTAAATACGCTGGGTTCACTGGGTGCAGAAAAAAGCTCAGTTTTGGCAACAAACCAAACCAGAGAGGCGCTGCATTAACACCTCCATCACTCACTGATGTAACTTTGCAGTGGAAAGTGTCAACTTGTGAGTGAATCAGTGTTGCAGCACATACCCAGAATAGACCAGCGTGGGCTAATGGCAGCTAGAGTCAACATGGTCGCTCCAGTAAAGCAGCACAGTAGCGGTAATATACTGTACTTTCATCATGACCACGTCACAAGAAGAAAGCCACTTTGATCTCGTACAAATCTTGACCCAGCACTGCAGAAATAAGCTTATTGGATATTATCATGTGCAGTGAGGAAACATCTTTCCCGGTTTAATGAAACTGTTTCTATGAGTAAAGTCCAAAAAAAAAAAAAAAAAAAAACTTGCAAACTATACATTGATATAAAACGGTAAGAAAGTTAAAAATATTATATTGGGTGAAAGAAAAATATGATGTATGAAATAAGAAGTGTGCAAAAGCTGATAGAAGCTAAGTAGCTAAAGCCAAGGTCTAAACTCCTATCAGCTGTTTAGGACTCTGACGGCTGATGGAGGGAAAGTTCCTGAGTTGGGAATAAAGACTCCATGCTGGAGTTGGGTAGAATTCATGAGGATGGAGGCAGTTATCCTGCTGACTCGGCAGTAAGAGGCCTGGTGATCTTCATCACTCTCTTCAGGAGTGGTTCTGCCAAACTACACTGTGCTGATGCTGCTGGTCAGCAGGCCCAATAACAGTTGGAGAGGTTGGAGGACATGCAAAAGTTCCTCAAAGCCTTCCTACCCAGCATGTGGCATTGAGGGACCAGGGGAGTCCTGCTCACACTCTCCAAGACTGGCCTGTGGGGCCTTCTCTCTAGCCTCATGACCATCGTCACTTCTTTTGACTCATCTATGTTGGCGGAGGGGGGTGGGGTGGGGGGTCGGGTCAGTGTTACAGACACCACGTCTGTGACAAAGCTGCTTCTGATTCCGTCAGATCACAAGTTTCTTTTTAATTCTACATGATTTGAGAACTCTAAATGAGTGCGGAACCAATGTTTAAACATCTAAACTAAAAGGAGCTAAAAACTAAATCTAGAAAATGATATGTGGCTCCAAAAACAGAACAGAGTAAGATCATCAGAGAAGGATCTCACTCTGCATTCCTCACTAGGCTATGCTCTGACTCTGTCGGGTCGTGGGGCCAGCAGCCTAAGGAGAGAGGCCCAGACTTCCAGGATGTCCAGGAGGCATCCTGACCAGATGCTTGAGCCACCTCAACTGGCTCCTCTCAATGCGGAGGAGCAGCGGGTCTACTCCGAGCCCCTCCCAGATGACTGAGCTTCTCACCCTATCTCTAAGGGAGAGTCCAGCCACTCTACGGAGAAAACTCATTTCAGTCGCTGGTATCCATGATCTCATTCTTTCGGTCACTACCCAAAGCTCATGACTATAGATGAAGATAGGAACGTAGATTGACCGGAATATCAAGAACTTTGCCTTCCAGCTCAGCTCTCTCTTCACCACAACAGACCGGTACAACGCCCACATTACTGCAGACACTGCACCAATCTGCCTATCGATCTCACGCTCTATCCTTCCCTCACTCATGAACCAGACCCTGAGATATTTAAAGTCCTCCCACTTGGGGCAGTACCTCATCCCTGACCTGGAGAAGGCACTCAACCATTTTCAGACTCAAGACCATTTCACCTTTCCAAAGTTTGAAATCCAACAGCAACAAGTTGAGGCCGATAGACAAACTGGCAACACAAAACCACAAAACTTTTTATTTAGAATAAATTCTGGAGATCTTTACTGACAAATTATATGCAACATGTTGCAACGGCTGTTGCTGCAGCAGGTGGATGGAGACGTGCTTGTAAAGAAGATGGGATAACACCGGTTGTACCTGCTTTGGGTTTAAGGAGTCTGATGCCGAGCTCAAACCATCCTCAGTTTCTGGGCATTAATTATGTCCTATCTGCGTTAATAGTTCATTAACACAAATGACCTGAGATGTGGTACGTTTAGTAACACATGATGAACATAGAGACTTCCACACTTTCTGAACATCTCCTGTGATTTGGTTTCAATAAATTTCCCTCAACTGTTTCAGCTTGTTGTACAAATTCAATAATAAGCCACAATATGGCTCAGCAATGAAACACAAGTTTGAATCTGCTTTAATCTGTTGAAGTATATCATAATTTAATGCATTCAGAGGATGAGGGCAGCTGCGTGATGTAAAATGTGGCATTCAATGAGCAGAAGCTCCATTTTTTATGGTGCTCTGTGAGACAACAAAGCCCCGTGAATTACGTTGTTGTGGGGGAATTTCCCAGTGTTTTTCGGTGTTGGGAGTTTAGTAAGGGCAATTTTAAAGCAGTGCGATCGGTGCTTATTTTCCTTTTGCTTCCATTCAGTTTCACATACAACTCTTAGTTTCAGTAGTTTTACTACTGCTGGTTGTTTTGAACAGCGTCTGCTGATGCCATTTCCTACTGAGTTAAAACCATTCAGGGTGAGTTAACCAAATGTTCCGTTCAGGCCATTTGGAGTACCTACCCCTGACCAGGTACTCAGGAAGTTCCAGAAAATGGCCCAGAAAATGTCCGTTCGGTTAAGTGGAGACACGCGCATATCAGGAAGTTCCTGCAAATTTACCCTGAAGCTCCGGTAGTGGAAACACACCTGCATTCTAACCCATGAGTGTTAGGAGCAGTCTGTAAAACTTTACCTATAGAAGTGAAAGCTCTTTAAGTGCTATAATAAAAGATGATTGATCTGATCATGAGTGTTTCTTGCACCTAAATGAAAATGTTAATTAGCCAGCTGAAAACACTCTGTCATTCAGCTTGTTATGAGTCCAGGAATTTTGTAACACAAAACCACAGCTGCATCTGAGATGCTGCAGCAAAGATTAAGCCATGGGTTTCTCATGTTTGTAAAAAAGGAGTGCAGGTTTAAGAGAGACGGTTTGCTGCTTTATGACTGACTCCATTAAGTGATCTACTGGGTTCCTCTGAAAATCAGTTTATAAATGAAGTTACTGACTGTCCTCACCAACATGGTTGCCCAGCTCTCTGATCAAGTCTGATTCAGGGAAAAGCAAATTTAAAAAGCATCCAAGTACTTAATAACACAGACACATTAATGCTTGGGTTGCCTTACCTTGTGGAGTCACAACAGCAAAGTAAAAAATGAAAGAGTCAACTGGTGGCTTATTCACTATAAATAGATATACCAAAATACTCTCTCTTCATTTCTGACACCAAAATAAAGAAATATCATTAAATGTGAGACCCATTCATAAAAGAAACAACAAACTACTTTAGGTAACTAACATCATATCTCCTATCATTCGTACGTAAACTTTAAACATCATCTTTGCAAACTATGACAACTACTTCAATTAAAGTTAGGCCAGTTGTAGCAAAATAAACAAAAATATCTTAAAAACAGACAATGTATATTATGAGCATGGTAATAAAAATTTGTGTCATTGGAAAAGTAAAAACCAATATAGATCATTTCCAAAAGATCATGCCAACGCCATCTGATAATAATATCAAACAACCTTAAATATAAACACTGTTTAGTCTATAAATTCAGTAAAACTCAAAAATACTGTAATTAGTGTACATGTAGTATTTTCATCAATTTAATGGATGTAAAATTGATCTAAAAGCAAAAATAAAGCTTTGGCCTACATTTGGGATGAGATACTAAGGTGCCAAGTTTAGAAATGAGTCACCTTTTGTGATGCTGTTTGTTCTTAGAAATTACCTGAACCTCTGAGTTGGGATCAACCGGCTGGAGGCTGAACCAGTTCTCCTTTCCGTTGTATTTACCCAGATCATCCTTTCGAATTGACACCTTGCCTGAAAAGGGACAAAAACAAACTATAAAAATCCAAGACAGTGAGCCAAAACACTTCCACTTTTCTTGTCTACATCATCTGAATGTGACTTACCAACAGGCAGGTCCCTCTGAAAAACGCCCTTGGTACAAACGTAGAAGGATAAACACTGAAAAGGGCGCGGGATCTCAAAGTAGAAATCCTCTCCATAGAAAGGGCTGGAAACAGAAATATTTACGATCAGCTGTTTGAATGTTTACATGCTTAAATAATGAATAACCACATTATTCATGTTTATGCATCTGTATTTATAGACACACTTTGTTGTGTTTTAGAACATGATTCACTGAAAAAAAAAAAACAATCTCAAAAAAACAAAAACTAATTATTTCTGGAGAAAACCAAAGTTTCATTTCAGTATATCAGGAGACATTTTTAATCATTTTGAGCACGGTTCATTATAACAGCGATGTCTCATTACTAGCACAAAGTCAGCATATTTTGATGTGCTGAAAAGAGATGTCTGAGCAGAAGGTGGACTTCACAGGGTGCCCTTATGACTCATCAGGGTTGTGTTCTCAGAATGTTGAGACTTAAATATGTCACTTTAGTCATCTAATCACCTCAAAACCATTCAGCTCCTTTCTGTATTCAGTATTATGTACTTTTTGCAGGATTTAAAAAAATTCAGCTAAAATCAAAACTTTTCAGATGGGCTACCATTGTATTATATTTATTTATTTATTTTTTACAAATATGTTAAAATGATAAATGAGACCATTTATATTCTGTTCCTGCATTTGGGATTAATTCATTCCTAGCTAAAGCCTGTTTAAAAAGACTACTGGGACCAGAAAAAGTAAAGTTAAAACATGCAAGCTCCAAATATGAACAGCATTTCATTTAACCGCATAAAGCTAGATGTCCTCAGTATAAGAAAAAAAATGTACTAGTCTGCCAAATATGACTATAAATAAAAATGTGATCCAATCAACCATAAACAACAAAAATATCACGAGTCAGAAACCACCTAGATGTATGTGGTACAAGCAGATGTTTCCCAGTCGCAGAGTCAACAGTATTTAGTTGTCTAAGGAGCTTTGAAAGAAAAGCGTCTGGACTTCTTTGAGTTGCTTGAAGACGTTTCACCTCTCATCCGAGAGGCTTCTTCAGTTCTAAGGTCAAATGGTGGACAGTCCCAGATTCAAACCCAGTGGGAGTTTCCCCCCGAAGAGGGAACAAAAGACCCCCTGATGATCTTCTACATAAACACATGAGCCAAGGTGTGAGGGTAGGTGTGGGTCATATTCAGCCAGAGTTTCGGGTGAGCTCATTGTGAAGCCTGGCCCCACCCTATCATGTGAATTCCTGAGGTCAGATGGCCCAGGATATGCGTGGGTGTTGAGGCATCTGGGAAGGGATCTCAAAACTGGATTACAGATGGCAGACAGTTGGTGTCGTAAACCACCGCCTCTGTTCAAAGATGGTTGCTCACAGTGGACATAAATGGCTTCCTTTACTCCTCTTTCAAACCATCTGTCCTCTCTGTCCAAAATGTGAACGTTGGCATCCTTGAAAGAGTGACCTTTGTCCTTAAGATGCAAATGAACTGCTGAGTCCTGTCCCGTGGAGGTGGCTCTTCTATGTTGTGCCATGCGCTTGTGAAGTGGCCGTTTGGTTTCCCCGAAGTAGAGGTCTGGGCATTTCTTGCTGCACTGTACAGCATACACCACATTGTTCAGTTTGTGTTTAGGAGTTTTGTCTTTTGGGTGAACCAGTTTCTGTCTGAGTGTGTTGCTGGGTCTGAAGTACGCTAGTATGTTGTGTTTGGAGAAACTCAACTCAAAGAAGTCCAGACGCTTTTCTTTCAAAGCTCCTTAGACTACAATGACCTGGATGACTGAGAACCTTCACAGACAACAGTATTTAGTTCTTTTTCTAACTTCGTTTGGTGTTTCACTATGGGAATCGCTCTGGCGTGACCAACTACGGAAGCTCCAATGACATCACGTCTGTCCCTGACAGACTGGTTGCACCATGCCCAGGCTCTGCCCACCCAGTATATACACGGCCAACCAACCCCTCCTACTCATTCTCGCTTTCTTCCCGTGAGAAACTACACTTTGCTCCCTCAGCGATTTTCAGGCTATCTTTGGTTAGCTGCTCAACTGTTCCCAGGCATACCGTCAGGATACGTCGCCGAACGCAGTCCCAACGCAGTCTGGATTTGAGCTGAGTAAGTGCTTCTAAGTCACTTGTCACACTTCACTAGGAACAGTCAACGCGTCACGGTGAGCTGCTCCTACGGCTACTCGGTTGTCATTGACGTAGTAGTATTAGTGAGTCAGCGATCAGGATGGTGCCGAGCGACGAGGCCCACCAGGGTTTTTATTTGCGCTACTTCCTCATTCCAAAGAAGGACGGGAAATCCCTCTGTCCCATTCTCAACCTGCGTGTGTTAAACAAACACTTACGCAAGTACACTTTCAGAATGTTGACTCACAAAACTCTCTGCCGTTCCATCCGCCCAGGAGATTGGTTTGCCAAGATCGATCTCACGGATGCCTATTTTCACATCTCGATTTATCCTCCACACAGGAAATTTCTCAGGTTTGTCTATCGGGGCACAGCCTGAGAGTTTCAAACATCCCGTTCGGGCTGTCATTAGCACCGAGGGTGTTCACCAAGTGTGTGGAGGCAGCGCTGTCCTCACTGAGGACTCGCAGGATCAGAATTTTCTCTTACATAGACGATTATCTGATTTGCGCTCCCTACCGGGAGGTGGTGCTGGTGGTGTTGAACCATCTGACCGACCTGGGGTTCAAAACAAACTGGACAAAGAGCAGTTAATTCCCCAGACAATGCACAGAATATCTGGGTCTTCAGATACTCTCTCTCTATCGCATTTCGCTGTCAGAAGAAAGGATCGCTTCCTTCACACAATGTGTCGCACGTTTTCAGTTAGGAATCCGTGCGTTGTACAGACTTTGCCTGTGCCTTCTTGGCCTCATGGCATCAATGATTTCTGTGGTATGACTGGGGCTTCTTATGATGAGAGATGTTCAGCGGTGGATGAGGTCGTTAAGACTGTGCTCCCGCTGTCATCTCCACCGCAGAGTGAAAATAACTCCGGCGTGCATGTCGGCTCTCCAGCCTTGGAGAGACCGAAAAGTTCTCACAACTGGGGTTCTGCTGGGGGCGGTGGTGTCCAGAGTTACCATGACAATGGACGCATCCCTTACAGGTTGGGGGGCCACCTTGATGGTGAGAGCAGTGAATAGCGTTTAGTCACGCAGTTTGAAAGAGGTTCACATAAATGTGCTGGAAATCCTGGCAGTGTCTCTAGCTTTAAAGGACTTCCTGCCCTACTTAAGGGACCGTCACGTCTTAGTGAAGACGGACAACACCACAGTGGTAGCTTATATCAACCGTCAGTGCGGGACACGCTCCCTACAGCTGCACTCACTAGCCAAGGAAATAATTGTGTGGTGCAGCTCCAGACTCCTCTCAGTCTGCACAACACATGTGGCGGGCAGCTTGAACAGAGGGGCAGACCTTCTGTCCAGAGGAAACCATCTGTACGGAGAATGGAAACTCCACCCCCAGGTGGTGCACCAAATATGGCAGAGGTTCGGTCAGGCTACCGTAGATCTCTTCGCCTCCTGGGAAAGCACCCACTGCCCACTCTTCTTATCCCTGACAGACGCGGATGCGCCTCTGGGAGTCGACGCATTGGCTCACCAGTGGCCGAGTGCGCTGCTGTACGCGTTTCCTCCTCTCAGTCTGATTTCCTCCATTCTAATAAGAGTAAGGGAACAGGGCCTGCCTTTGATCTTGGTGGCTCCATTGTGGCCATCCAAGCCGTGGGTGGCATAAATACTCCAGCTGCTTTGGGACAAACCCTGGCCCCTGCCTGTCCGCAGGGATCTCCTGTCCCAAGCCAGGGGAGAGATTTATCACCCTCACCCAGACCGCTTGTCTCTGTGGGCCTGGCCCGTGAGAGGTGGAATTTGAGCATGGCAGGCCTGCCCCCAAGTGTCACTGACACCATTCAAAACGCTAGGGCCCCCTCAACTCGCTCTCATTACAGCTGCAAATGGAGGGTTTTTTGAGGTGTGGTGTGAAGAAAAACATGTTATCCCATTTCAGTGTTCGGTGGTGGATGTACTCTGTTTTTTGCAGTCTGATAGACAAGGGTAAAGCTTTCTCCACTATCAAAGTTTATCTGGCTGCAATTTCTGCATGCCATGTGGGGTTTGGTGACAAACCAGTGGGGCAACACCAACACCCATTAGTGAGTCGCTTCGTGAAGGGTGCTTGCCGTAAGCTACCAGTCTTTAGGCCACTGGTACCACTGTGGGACCTCTCTCTTGTTCTGGAGGCCCTATGTAATCATCCTTTTGAACCGGTAGATGGGGCTAGATTGAAATTTCTCTCTTTAAAAACTGCACTGCTCTTAGCTTTAACTACAGCAAAGAGAGTGAGTGACCTTAAGGCATGGTCAGTCAGTCCCTCTTGTTTACGGTGGGCCCCTGGCTACACTAAGGTGTGTCTGCTGCCCAATCCAGCTTTTGTGCCTAAAGTAATGGAGTCGTCTTATAGCTGCTCCCCTGTGGAGCTGCTGGCTTTTCACTCACCTCCTTTTTCCTCAGCAGAAGAGCAGAAGCTTAATTGTCTCTGCCCTGTTCGAGCTTTGAGGGCTTATATGGACAGGACTGCTGGTCTCAGAAAATCAGACCAGTTGTTTGTTTCTTGGGCCACGGCCCATAAAGGCAAACCTATGTCTCGCCAGAGACTGGCACACTGGATTGTAGAAGCAATCAGCCTTTCATATAGGTGCAAGGGTGCTGAACCCCCTCTGGGGGTGAGGGCTCATTCTACAAGGAGCATGGCCACATCTTGGGCCCTGTTTCGTGGGGTGTCAGTCCAGGATATTTGTGCAGCAGCTAGCTGGGCCATGCCACTAACTTTTGTGCGGTTTTACAGGCTGGATGTGTCTCAACCTTCACTGGCGCATTCAGTGCTGGAGGCAGGATGCACAGCATCTGCTTAGTGGTTAAGCAGAATTTTGCTACAGCTCGCGTTGGGATGGACATGCAATCCGGGAGTGGGCCATATCTCCCAAAGTGAAACACCGAACAAAGTTAGAAAAAGAACTTAGGGTTACGTTATGTAAAGCCCGGTTCTTTGATAACAGAGTGAGGTGTGTCACCATCAA